CCATTTTTCTCGGTTTTCACTTTTTGGCATAATTTGAAAATACCTGTTTCTCTTTACATTGTGTGTAAATTTTATGATGAATGGAACAAAATGAACAGCTCAAAATTACTTGGAAAAAAGTATGGTTCCATTGACTTACATTAAAAGTGAAGTAGGTTTTTTCCTTCTCCTGTAAAGTTACCATTTTGGAGATCCGAGGTTTTGTTCAGACAACAGCATATACGACACATTCTCCACCAATCTGAAGAACCAGTTTATAATGCAAAGAACCATTTAAGTATGCAGATGGTTCTTTGTGTTGATGGTTCTATACAGAACACTAAAGATAATTGAGAAGTCTGTGCAGCACTAAGAACGAACTCATAAAAAAACAGACACCCATGATGCCTCGTATTCGAAAACCAATAACCAAATCTGGCTGATTTAACCCCTTACATGGCCAGGGCCCACCGGCAGGCCAGTCTGCACAGCAGTGTACAAACTATTTTATACACACATCTCCAAAATAATGGTATTATATGAATAAAATCAGTGATACAAATTTTTGAACAGTAGTGTAAATAAGTTTAAAGGGGGAATCCTGGCCCTAACATTACTGTTTGATATGTTGTTTGTTCTGTATATGTGGCCATTATAATCCAGCTAACTAGGAGAAGAAATCCGAACAGCCCCCAAAATCCACCTTAGTTAGTTACGGCTTTTTTAAACACACCTTCCACCTTCAAGACGCATCATCAGAAGGGGTTTTTCTCATCTTTAAACTGTAAAATCTCTCTCTAGAGTCTAGAACGCCACTGTCGAAGGAGAGTCGGCATGTTTACCACAGATAGGAGCGGTGGTTACGGTTTGCATCTCACCCGGTGTGTCCCTTTAATATGTGTATGAGTACGTAATTAATTTATGACAACAGAAAAAATATTATATATATAAATACTAATATTAAATAAATACTAAATACTATTTCTATTGTGTAAATCTATATAAAGTGAAAGTAAGTTAGAAGTGATGTAGGTGCATCATCACTGCTTTCTAGATATTCATGATGGTTTTATGATTGACACAAACACCATTTAGGAAAAAAAGAAAAAAAGAAATAAAAATAAAGAATAGTGTGATGCAGCATCCTGTATTAATTGTGTTAATCACTCTTAGAGGTCGTGCACGTCAGTATTTAATCGTTTTCTCTGTTCTCTTCAGGCTAAATGTTTACTTATAGCTCTGTTATCGTGGAAGGAAATGAATCAGTCAGATTAATATTGACCTTCTGATGAAAAAACTGTCGTCGGGCACATTTTCCTCCCTGCAGTTTATTTATTTTACTGGAATAAATTCACTCTTTGCTGTTAGAAAGGCAGTAAATTATTAGCTGGTAGTGACATTAACGCAGCCCACTGCTGCTCCTCGCCTTGTTTCGTGGCATTTATTTATTTCTTTTTTCATAAGTTGGCAGTAAAGCCGTTCCTCTGAGGACCTTACTGTATGAATTATGCCAACATATTTCCCCCAAACTCAGCGCCGACATCTGTGAGGCACAACACAATCAGATATGCAAATGAATGGGATACGTTGGCTTTTAGAGGCAGAAGTAGGAAGCTCATTAAATCGATTATTGCAATCCTTAAAAGTAACAGTTGGAGCGTTATTTGAGTCGAGTTCGGATTTGGAACTGATTTCGTACCTAATTGCCTGAAGCTGGCAGACTGACAACTTCATTTAGCTCACCGCAAATAAAGAGCTGTGTATTACAGCTAATACAGAGAGAGAGAGAGAGAGGAGAGAGAGGAGAGAGAGAGAGAGAGAAGGAGACAGGAAGGAGAGAGAGAGAGAGAGAGAGAGAGAGAGAGAGAGAGAGAGAGGGGGAAGGAGGGATGGAGAGAGAGGGGGAGAGAGAGAGAGAGAGAGGAGAGGAGAGAGAGAGAGAGGGAGAGAGAGAGAGAGAGAGAGAGAGAGAGAGAGAGAGAGAGAGAGAGAGAGAGAGAGAGGGGAAGGAGGGATGGAGAGAGAGAGGGAGAGAGAGAGAGAGGGGAAGGAGGGATGGAGAGAGAGAGAGAGAAGGAGAGAGGAAGGAGGGATGGAGAGAGAGGAGGGGGAGAAAGAGGGAGAGAGGGATAGAGAGAGATGGAGGGAGAGGTGAGAGAGAGATGGAGAAAGAGGACAAAATTGAGAGAATGAGGGATGGAGAGAGAGGGGTGAGATGAGAGAGAGAGAGAGGGTAATTATGATAATTTTACAGGAGAAGAAAAAAACTTACTTTACTTTGAATGTAAATCAAGTACTTTTGGGTTGTTTCTTTTGGTCTGTTTATTATAAATATAAAATTTACACACAGTGTAAAGAGCAACAGGCATTTTCAAATGATAACAAAAACTGAAAAACGACAACAATGGTGATACAATGTTCTTCCGACAGCCGCGATATATATATATATATATATATATATATGCATATACATGTGTGTGTGTGTGTGTGTGTGTGTGTGTGTGTGTGTGTGTATATGTAGTTTCCCTTCTTCTTCTCTTGCCGGGTTGCCGGAGTGGAAAGGCTGAGTTCTCTGTAGCTCCTCTTTGCTCTCTACACATCAGGCTGTGGTCTGGATCTCCTCTGCGTTTCTGCTGATATCTGTGTGTGTTTTATTTTCTCGGCGCAGTATTTCACTCGCAGGGCTGTTTACGGAATAATTCATGAATTTGCTCGGTTTTATACGCCGCTTTCATCTCCTTATCTGCTTTACATCTTTTTCATCACAGCTCTAAACTGACAGGGGCCAGAGGAGCCGCGAGAGGACGGCGCGCGGTTGCGCGAATATTAATAAATAAATAAATAAATAAATGAAAAAGGCTGAATCTGCAGCCAAGCCAAACTTCACAGCCAAAGAGAAATCTGCCTCGATTATGGAAAAAAAGCACTAAAAGCACCCCTTTGTGGTGGTCTAATGAGACTGATTCAACATTTGCACTCAGCTTTATCCCCTAAAACCGCTAATCGTAAATCACACAGCTCACTTTCATGTGTTATTTACTATTTCAGATACACTGTATATTTACATTGCTCTGATTTGTGGGTTACTCTGCTTATTTCAGTGTTAAATCATAGCAAGCGTGCATTTTTTTTTTAATCGCCAGTACGTACGACCTGGAAAATGTTCTGTGAAACGTATTAAACATCAAAGTATTTTCTGTATTTCAAAGAAACCACAGCAGAGACTGTCTTTACAGCCCTTCGCTCGCTTATTTATGAGTGTCAAACGGCCAAATCTGTCCTTGCTGGCTTTGCTGCGACATCGTTTCACATTTTTAGACTTGCATTGAGCGCATTTCTATGATATCGTGCACTTCATCAATTTGATAATCATCACATTGTACCATCTGTACTTCGTTTTGTTTCCCCACAAGCGCTTTTACTGTGGTTATATGCGCAGTATGGTCCCATGTGTCATCATAAGTCATGTTTTATACTTGTTTATGCGCATATTTGTGGCTGTAGATGAGAAAAAGCACAGCATAAACTACAGACTGACTCATTTCACTACATAGAATTACATTTACACATAACTTCACATTGTTAGTTACTTTAATTAATTGATTAATTAAGTGTATTCATAGCCAAAATGGCTCTATATGGTACCATATCTGTGTATGTCTTCTAACAGTAGTGAAACTCTTTTTGGAGCTTTATAGGACCATTTTTAAAGGGTTCTTCAGGCCATTTAGCCATTCAAATGGCGCTTTGAGTTGTAATGGTTCTATATAAAACCACACTACCAGATTAGTTCGTACGGAGCCCCTAGGGGCCGTGGTTAAAAAAAAAAAAAATTAATGTTAATTAATGTATTGCGTTCCCTCGCAAAAAATTGCATTCCCTTGCAAAACATATGCTCGTCAGACAGCAAGCAAACGTAGGACCAGAGGTGCCCGACGACATTGCCTACATTAGAGCTGTTTTCCCAGTTTGGCCAGTCTGCGCTGAGTTTATTCAGCTGTTGTTCTCTGCAGTCTCTGTAAATGTAGCTTTTGCTGTACGAGGACCCTCGACCTCAGTTTCAGTTTGCGTCACTAACAGCAAAATCATGTTTGATTTTGAGAAGCGACACGTCTTTATATTTCAATCCAAGATCAAAGCAAAATTCAACGAGCTGCTTCATGGCTGAGCTTAAGCACAGCTTTGCAAGCGAATGCAAACCGTTTTGCAAAACATTCGCGCGGAACACAAAAGATTTCGACTCCGTAAGTTCAAACTGTCACTACCGAAACATGAAGAGTTTTAGTCTGTGGGCGGAGCCTTGTTTTAGCCACGCCTCTGCATTTTAGGGCAGGAAATGAGGCTCCATCCCTGTCCTTCATGGCCACATGGTGAGCAGTTAGATCCCATTGTTCTGAAGTAAATGTGTCCCAAAGTCTGAAAATCAGTGTGGAACATTAAGAACTGTCACTACCGAAACAGATTTTTTATGTTTTAATGTAAAATAGGATGATTTTCTGTGTGAACAGCTGTTCAAAGCTGTGTTTGCTGGTTTACTGGCTACGTTTTTGAGCTCAAAATGAGCTAAAATTGTCACCGAAACAGTCACTACTGAAACATCTGGTAAAGTTTTGGTGTTATGATTCCTCTGGTAGTGACAAAATGAAATGTTCAGTCATTAGTTTTAACAAAATAAACATAATTAAGATTTAGAGTCACTCAGAGCAAAAAGATTTTAGTCTAAAATCCAAAATCAGTTAAAATCCTAAATGTGCTTAACATCGTAAACAACAGAAGAACCCTTTTCAAAAAGGTTCTTTATTGAACCATCTACAGCACATTGTCCATCAATCTAAGGAACCCTTTAATTATGCAGAGGGTTCTCTGAGTGTGCCTGGTTCTATATAGAACCTTTTTCTTCACTAAAGAACCCTATAAGCTATGAGGCTTAGGGAGAAATTGAATTTAATAGCTCTTCAGTTTGATTCTGAAGCATCTATGCTGAACCTTCATGCTAAAAGTCTCTCTCTGTGTTCCCGCAGTCCTATCCAGTGCCCGGTCTTGGAGATGAGGACTTCAACATCCCTCCCATCACCCCGCCCACCCTGCCCGAGCATGTGTTGGCTCACCTGCCCGAGACGGATTCGGCGTACCACCCGCTGTGCCCACCCGTCTCTCAGAGCGGGCTGCACCCCTTCCACCTGCAGCCCGTCGAGCTGCCCATGTCCGTCCCCAGCATGGTGGGCCAGGACACCAACCTCATCACCAACTCACTTTCGGTGGTACGTTTTAACACAACACCTTCTACACAGTTGCCCCAAATTTGGTCGATCTCATTTGTTTGGTGTCTGCTTTAGCTTTAGCGCTGGAGCTACGAGGTTAACCTCTATTCTCCAGGGTATATTTTGGTTTGTCCATCTGAATTTACATGACCAAATCGTAAGGCAAATTATTCAGTAACTGCATCAAATAAATGTAAATTTTTATTTTATTTATTTTTTTGGTATAAGCTCCCCTCAAATTAACAGAACATGTGTTTTATGATCACACATATTGCTATATGCTTACAATTTACTGCTGAAAGCCAAAAATCTTAGACGCTCTTTGTATTATTTTATAAAAATAATTTTTACAGAGCAGATCACTGAAGAGACTGAAGAGATCTGTTTATAGTTTATAGCCCAGATTTGTGGAAAAATGGGTTGACTTTTATTATAAGGGTTTAAAATTACATCACCCATTTATTTGAATGGAAAGAAGACAGTTACAGCTCTCATACGACCCCCACCTTTAGAATGTAGCTTATGAAACATGACAGTTATGAAGAGGCTGGACTGGGAACTAAATTCAGTCAAATTTTGAGGGGTTAATGACGTTTGCACGTCTCATTTATATCATGTGATTGAAAGAAGGAAACACAGAGAGTGTTCCTGTTTAGCTTAGCGAAGCAGCGCAGGAATGAGCCGCACTTTAACCCCTTAAAGTCTCAGACTTGTTACATACTAAGGCTAATTATTCAGCAGCTACAGGGACCTCAGTACAAACTGTCTGCTTGCTGTGGGTCCTGGTCATTTTAACTGTTTGTTAAAACTGTCCCAAACTGCTCGGCTAGTCTGTACGGTTAGCTGTAATGTACACAAGCTAGCTTCAATGTTTTTAGTCTTTTTTCTGGATTTCTTTTCAGTTCTCTCTGTTTATTTTACGTACGACTACATTAGAAACCACCATGCATTTCTCTTTTTCTCACTCTCTCAGTGGCCCACACAGATAGGGGCCAACTGGGAACTGTCCTGGTCCTCCTGAAGGCCAGTCCATCCCTGGTAACAAATAATGGAAGCATATACCCCAGTGATTAGCACTGTGCTACATCTGTCCATTTTTCTAGACGACACTTCATCGTACAGTGTCAGAAACACAGACTTGACCACACACTCAGAAATAAAAGGTAGTAAATGTCACTGGGGCAGTGGGGTAAAGTTGAACTATAATCCATTGAAATTATACACCGATCAGGCATAACATTCTGACCACCTCCTTGTTTCTATGCTCATTGTCCATTTTATCAGCTCCACTTACTATATAGGTGCACTTTATAGTGCTTTTACCCTGTTCTTCAGTGGTCAGGACCCCCATGGACCCTCACAGAGCAGATACTATTTGGGTGGTGGATCATTCTCAGCACTGCAGTAACAATGATATGGTGGTGATGTGTTAGTGTGTGTTGCGCTGGTGCGAGTGGATTTTTAAACACTGTGTCCACTCACTGTCCACTCTATTAGACACTCCTACCTTGTCAGTCCACCTTGTAGATGTAAAGTCAGAGACGATAGCTCATCTGCTGCTGCACAGTTTGTGTTGGTCATCCTCTAGTCCTTCATCAGTGGTCACAGGACGCTGCCCACAGGACGCTGTTGGCTGGACGCTGGTTGGTGGACTATTCTCAGTCCAGCAGTGACACTGAGGTGTTTAAAAACTCCAGCAGCACTGCTGTGTCTGATCCACTCAGACCAGCACAACACACACTAACACACCGCCACCACGTCAGTGCTACTGCAGTGCTGAGAATGATCCACCACCCAAATAGTACCTGCTCTGCGAGGGTCCATGGGGGTCCTGACCACTGAAGAACAGGGTAAAAGGGGGCTAACAAAGTATGCAGAGAAACAGATGGACTACAGTCTGTAACTGTAGAACTACAAAGTGCACCTATATAGTAAGTGGAGCTGATAAAATGGACAATGAGCGTAGAAACAAGGAGGTGGTCAGAATGTTATGCCTGATCGGTGTATTATGTATATATATATATATATATATATATATATATATATATAATATATATATATATATATGTGTGTGTGTGTATATCATTATGTATATGTATAATCAAAGTGTTTACATGCTACATCAAACTTGGTTTAAAAATTGGATGAAAGTTCAGTTTTCCGTTATATAGGCCCTTTACCAACTTGAAATGTATAATTTAGGCGTGCAGTTAGCACAATGCTAACGGCTAACATTGTTTACTTGTGAAGCCAAGCTTGTAAATGGTTGTGTGTCGTTTAGAGAGAGAGAAATCTGTCTGTTAGAGTTAGACAGATAGAAACGTTCAATGATCAGCAGACACTCTGTGTATGTTCTCCTCTGAGAGAAGCTGCTAATGTGAGAAAAGTACACAGTTGGCTAACAGCTGGATAACTGACAGAAGTAAAGTACATCACCGGAGACTGTGGGAGTTTGCTACCAGAAAATGAGCACTAATTTGATTTATTACGTGTTGAATCAATGCCAAATTCCCCTCTGGATAAAAGATAATAGAATATAATTCAGCGACAAGATGCACTTTAATATAGCATATTATTCTATTTTACATACAGTGCTGTGCAAAAAGTCAGAAACTGCCCCTCATTTGTTTAATTTCCAGTCAAAATGACTGTTAAGATCAGGTATAAGATAGTCCACTTTATCACACAGAAGTAAGGAGTAAGAGTTTACAAATAAATGATTGAAAGCTACAGAGAAAACGAGACTCCTAACAACCACCTGGAAGACCTGGTCGACACCAAAACTGCCCCCAGCAGATAAACAGCACTTAAAGCTTTCATCTTTTAGAGAGAGGACCTTCAGTCGAATGACATTTTGTTGATTTCTAAGTGAAAACAATTAAATATGGCATTTTTCAGCAAATTTTATTCCACAATTTCTATTTATTTACTTATTATTAAGTCGTGGCCACAACTTAGTAAGGCATGGGAATGAGATAATTAATTCTTCCACAGCTTAGTAAGGCATGGGAATTAGTTCCTAATGCATGGCCACAACTTAGTAAGGCATGGGATTGAGATCCTAATGCATGGCCACAAGTTAGTAAGGCATGGGAATTAGTTCCTAATGTGTGGCCACAACTTAGTAATGAATGGGACTGAGATCCTAATGCATGGCCACAAGTTAGTAAGGCATGGGAACGAGATCCTAATGCATGGCCACAACTTAGTAAGGCATGGGACTGAGATCCTAATGCATGGCCACAAGTTAGTAAAGCATGGGAATGAGTTCCTAATGCGTGGCCACAACTTAGTAAGGCATGGGACTGAGATCCTAATGCATGGCCACAAGTTAGTAAGCATGGGAATGAGTTCCTAATGCGTGGCCACAACTTAGTAAGGCATGGGACTGAGATCCTAATGCATGGCCACAAGTTAGTAAGCATGGGATGAGTTCCTAATGCGTGGCCACAACTTAGTAAGGCATGGGACTGAGATCCTAATGCATGGCCACAAGTTAGTAAGCATGGGAATGAGTTCCTAATGCGTGGCCACAACTTAGTAAGGCATGGGAACAAGATAATTAAGTCATTGCCACGACTACCAGGTCTTCCAGGTGGTTGTTAGGAGCCCCAGTTCCTCTATTCACACTTCTGCGTGCAACTTCAGTCGTGTGTGTTTTCTGCTGGACACATAAACATGAATGACTTGTAACTTAATGGCTGTTTTGAATGAGGAGTCGTCTCTGTGTTTTTCCAGGTTTATGTTTATGTTTTCATAAAATGTTAAATGTCTAATGTCAATTTCCTCCTATTTTTTTACATGTGAAGATCATTTTATGTGGGAATTACCCTCATTTTAAAAGCACCCAGTGACAGGGTGTCAGTCATGAGTCCACACTTTGCACATTTTTTCCTTAATTCTGGTCTTAGGTCAGCAGAATGTCCCTCAGCTCTATTTATAAGTGTATGAAGACGTATCTATAGGGCTTTCCTGAGAATCGAAACGCGCAGGCTGGGATCAGCTCTAGTGCTGCAGACAGTGCTCTGGTGACACGAGCTGGGTGAGGAGCTGAGTGTGTGACTAACTGTGGTCAGAGTTGAGGATGGAGGCTGAATGTGCTGAGCGTGTGACTCAGAGCGAAAGCCCGTTTTCTCAGCTTTCAGCTATTGTTTTCCACACACCTCATGTCTGCCGGCCCCGAGCCCAATATTGAGTGGTATTTACACTTCCTGTGGTGTTATCAACCACAGACGAACCTTTCTTACGTACCGTGTGATTTGTTATGACATTTCCATAATCATAACCGCATTGGCATTAGCCTGTTTTCTGGGGTGATGCACTTTTATCGGAAATTAATGAACAACAGAGCAAAGGTGTCTACAAAAATGATGACTTGTGTGCGTGGAAATTTGGCTCAACCATTTTGGCACAAAATACTTCTACCGAGTTCACGGCGCGTTCAGGTTATTCCCATAATCGCATCGTCATTATTGTCCGAGATGACGTTTTTTCACTGTGTAAATTGAATTAATTAATGAATAATAGAAAAATGGTTTCTACCATGACACTATGTAAATACTATGACTTTATGACATTCATAAATTTTTTCCTATTTTATTCCTTTTTCATTTATTGTTCATTCAGCTTAAATGCTTCCATGTACTGTAAGTGTGCATTCGGTTACATTTTCCATAATCATAACTGCATAGCCATTATTTTTGCAGCTGCTGCAGCTTTATAGGCAATTAGTCAATAATAGAGCAGAGTTTTCCACCAAAAATGACTTTTTTATTCAATATATTTGTTCTTCATTTGGCACAAATACTTAAGTAGACTTTTACAGTGCATTCAATGTATTTCCATAGTCGCGTAGTCATTATTTTTAGAGATGAAGCACTTTTATTGTAAATAATTAACTTTTATTGTAAATAATACTGGAGAAATTGTTTCTATCAAACATTGGGACTTTTATTGTTGGGAATTTGCACAACCGAATATCTATAAGCATCTGATTTATT